GGCATGGTTCCCTGGGGATAGAGATAGATAGAAATGGAAAAGACAGCAAGATGTCTATTACTCAGATTGACCCTGAAGGGGAAGATTAAGGCCTGTGCAAGTGTGTGTGTTGTGTGTGTATATATATGTGTGTGTGTATATATGTCTCTATATATATGTGTATGCATGCATGCATGAATATGTATGTGTTATGTATGGGCATGTTTGTGAACATGTGTATGGGCTGCAGGCCAAAGCTGGAGGAATTGTTTCCTTTATGCATGAGACACAAGTGGAGTGGCTTCTGACTCAGCATGGGGAGAGAAGCATCCTTGCTTCTTCATGAGGCAAGTATGAATTCTGAAGGGACTGTGCCTTTAAAAGCTGGAATGGACTGAGATGAGTAACAGAAATGTCTTAAGTAGTGTGGACATTGACTCTAAGCCAGTGCAATGTGTATATTAATACTACTCATTTATACCCACAGGCTGGAGAGGCCTGAGGCTATTTAAGGCACATTCTTTATCCCATTTGATCCTCATAATCCTATGAAGTAAGCATCATTATCCAAATTTTATGGAGGCAGAGAGGCTAGTGACTTGCTCAAGTGACCCTGTTAATAAGTAGTTGGACCAGGATTAACCTCAGAGTACCCTCTTAGCCACTTCTCAACACTGCCTTCCAAACATAGTGGCTAATATTTCAGATGACACATCCACCTGGGTTATTGAGGAGGCTGAGTGACCCTTTTATGTGTATATATATATATATGTGTGTATATATATATATATATATACACATACACACACACATACATATACATACATACATATACATACACTAGAGGCCCAGTGCACAAAATTCATGCACCCTCTTGCAGTCCGGGAGCCCTTGGGGGATGTCCGACTGCCGCAGAGGCAGGAGAGGCTCCCGCCACTGCCGCTGTGCTTGCCAGCTGCGAGCCCGGCTCAGGGCTTCAGGTTGAGCGGTGCTCTCCCTGTGGGAGCACACTGACCACTAAGGGGCAGCTCCTGAGGTGAGTGTCTGCTCCTTGGTGGTCAGTGCACATCATAGCGACTGGTCGTTCCACTGTTTGGTCGATTTGCATATTAGCCTTTTATTATATAGGACTAGAGGCCTGGTGCACGGATTCGTGCACCTGTGGGGATTGGGTTGAAACTAGCTCTCCGACATCCTCTGAGGGATCCCAGATTATGAGAGAGCGGTTCTCGGGTGATGCACCCTGGAATCAGGCTCCCTCCTCTCTGGTTCCCGGTGCACCATCCGAGAACCACAGTTGCCAAGTCACTGCAGCTCGGCAGATCTTGCGTTCAGCATCTGTCCCTTGGTGGTCAGTGTGCATCACAGCTACCGGTCTTTCCATTGAACGCTCGGCCAGTCGCTTAGGCGTTTATTTATATAGATTTATTTATTGATTTCAGAGAGGAAGTGAGAGGGAGAGATAGAAACATCAATTATGAGAGAGAAGCACTGATTGGCTGCCTCCTGCACGCCCCACACTGGGGATCGAGTCTGTAACCTGGGCATGGGCCCTTGACTGGAATCGAACCTGGGATCATTTAGTCTGCAGGCTGACGCTCTATCCACTGAGCGAAACCGGCTGGGGCCTGAGTGACCCTTTTAGAATAGAAGTTGTGAAGAACAACCACATCCTCTGAAGGCCTTTGGTCATTTCAGGAGGCACTTTAGGCTATAAGGATGATGTCCTTACACAGGGGGGCATTTCTAGCATTCTCTGGGGAGATATCAAAGGACAAGCTAGGGAATGTATCTGGGGACAGAAGGACCACTGTAGTCCCAAGGAAAGGGACATCACTGAATGTTAGCACTGATGCTTCCCTGTGGAACTGCACAGAACTTTTTAGTTTCTAGAACATTTTCTTTGGTATCAATTCATTTCAAAGTTCACAGAAAACTCTGTGAAGCAAAAACTTATATGCCCATTTTGCAGATGGAAATAAGGCACAGAGAGCTTCAAGGACTTACCCAAGATTACATGGCTAATAAGTGTAAGCATCATGCTAGAAATTTCCTGACACCCACTTCATGATTCCTTCTTTTGTACCAGGTGGTCCCTGTGCCATAGTGGGGTGATTATCTTTATCTAACAGGGGCTGATATTGTGTCTGAGCCAGTCTGGGGACTAGACATGAAGATGGTGCCTGAAGAGAGGCAAACATGCAAGTGAAGACAGGATTCAGGGCACAGTACCAGCCACAGTAGCACCTACTTCATTCAGATCCATGTACTTCATAGGTATTTAGGCTGATCCCATATTAGAATTTTCCAGACTGTTACATGGACAGCTAGTTTCATCAGATGCTCCATGAGAAATACAGTTCTCTGGGTAAGTAATACATCTTGTTGCCTTCTTTTAGAGTAGTCGTGCATATTAAAGGCTCTCTAATGTCTTTAAGAAATCTATTTGACTTATTTGAACACAAAACCTTTTCTTAAAGTCATACCTATTAGCAGCCCATGAAACTGCCAAGAATAACTAGTTTACTTTAATCACTGAATTAATGGTTTGCTTTTTATATCACGTGGGCCAAGCCTTAGGAATCGTTTGCAGTTTTATATTTTAGCCTCAAGACTCATACGTATATCAGGTGTGAAAGGCAGTGTATTTGTATATAGGCCTTGGTGCTAGTCATTTCATAACTCAAAGACCCAGGAGTAGACTGTGTCTACGCAAGCATGCTAAAGCTCATAAATTAAAACTGAAATCTCATTATAATATTAATAAGTCTTTAATATTAGGTATTTTCACTGGTAAATCATAGTAGAATAAATGTCAAGGAAACCTATGAGTCTGTTTACTGTTGGCTGATGACATACATGGTTTGGGATGGTGGTGCTTTGATGGAGGGAGGTCTTTGAGTGAGCAAGGCTGACATTTTATGCAAGTCATTCATCATTGTCTTAATTGTGGATTGCAGCAGACACTTGACATTCATGATGGATATTTCCTGCCCTAATTGGCGAATACCACTAGAGTAAATGATTTTCCTCATAAAACCTTTTTAATTCTGACTGGAACCATCATGTTCATGGAGCAATTCACTTTCTCTTCTCACTCATCACTGTGCCCATTTTGTAGTTGACAATGAGAGGGAACATGTAGCTATGAGGTAGTGGCCAGACATCTGGACTAGTTGACTGATCTACCTTCAGTGACAGTTTGCTAAAATATGTGGATTTATGTTTCAGAAAAATGGTGAATGCTTGCATTTCATGGGCTGTTGGAATTGCTCTTGAATAGCCAAAACTGAAAGTAAATCTGCAAATGCTAAGCATCTCCAATACTTTGGGTTTTCTCTGTGCTGGGAGGCAGGGGTATGCTTGGCTTGGTGAAGGCAGGAAATGCTGGTGGTTCTGGAAACTCAAGCTCATCCTTACCATTGCCAGTCTCACAGCAGGGTGTGTTTGAACTTCAAGACTGAGAATGTGTCAGCAGCTTCAGGAAGGGATGCCGGTGCTTTGATGAAAAGCCTCAGTGAGCTCTTGGGATAGGCTAAAAAGTGGGTTTCCCTGAGCTAAGAAAATAGTATCGTACTTCAAATTGTAGCCTGACTCCTCTCCTCCCATCACTCTATACTTTCTAATGTTTATCTAAGGTCACCTTTTGCATGCTTTATCAACATATATTTGGGACTCAGACTCTTTTAAAAAACTGATTTTCTTCAAATTTTTTATTATTATTAAAAGTAAAAGGGCAAGAATATGTCATCAAATTTAGAAGCTATCTCTAGATGAATTCCACAGATACATGTGTGGAATTTTCCTCATAAAATTCACCCCTCACAAATTAAGACAATCAGACATCAGACAAAAGAGAAATGCCCAGAAGCTGTTTTGGGGAATTGAAAATATGTCCAGTATTGATCCTATGAAATAGCTGGGGTAAAACCCCCGAAAGACTGATCAGCCATCCTGCATATGTGGAAAGCACTTTGATATTTAAACACATCTTTGGATCTTTGATCTTTGGAGCTCTGCAGTTTTCATCAGGATGAATGATGTCATCTAACATAAGAGCAGATTCTGAAGAACTCAGAGTACATCTAAATTGGAACCATATTGAGTTTTGCTTCTTAGGACCTGATCTGACCAGCCACTGTGGGTCTGAGTGCAACTGGGTGCCAGTGGCCATTAAACAAGCTTGCTTTGTGAAAGTCAACTGGAGCTTCCTACTGTGGACTTTCATGAGCCTGGGGAGTACAGTTCCTCTAAGCCTCCCAGAACCATGGATTCCACAAAGCCTCTAAGCCAGTGGTTCTCAACCTTTCTAATGCCGCGACCCTTTAATACAGTTCCTCATGTTGTGGTGACCCTTAACCATAAAACTATTTTCGTTGCTACTTCATAACTGTAATTTTGCTACTGTTATGAATCGTAATGTAAATATCTGATATGCAGGATGTATTTTCATTGTTACAAATTGAACATAATTAAAGCATAGTGATTAATCACAAAAACAATATGTAATTATATATGTGTTTTCTGATGGTCTTAGGCGACCCCTGTGAAAGGGTCGTTCGACCCCCAAAGGGGTCTCGGCCCACAGGTTGAGAACCGCTGCTCTACACTAAAACATTTTCTACACAATGGGTCCCCAGGCACATGGAGAAAGCGCAGTACATGCTATTGTACAACCTGAGTAATTTGTTTCCCATGAAAACCCTCAAATTGGTCTGTTCGCTGATGGGAACACTAACTGTGACATTGTTCCTGTCGGTGTTTTGGAGGCTGAAAATCCCGTTTTATTCTCTAGGCTCAAAGCCTTTTTATGGAATGGCTATCATGATCTCTCTCTCCTGGTAGCCTGGGGATGGGAAAGGGGGTTGCAGAGAGGGGCTCTGAGCAGTTCCCTGTCTAGAGAGAAGTTGGATAATTGGTGTTGTCACTGTCACCTTGTGTAAACATAAAATAAACATGAGCACAAAGCTAGGCCAGCAGCCATGCCAGGTGGGAAGGCCAGGAGAGGTGGGGAAGCTTACCTTTTTGACTTCATATTTAATGGCGAGTTTAATCCGGCTCAGACTTGGACGGTGGTGGTCGGACCAGACTTGGAAGTTCACATCACCATTTAAAATTGCTTCCACCTCTTCTGTGTCTCGGCATAGGTCCAGCACGCCCACCACAAAATCCTTGCATTGCATAGATAACTTCCTGTAATCGTTCTAACAGAATAAAGAGAAATCAAGGGTGTGTCAGACTGAGCCCCACAGGTGGGCTTGCCCAGCACAGCAGGGTTGATCAGCAACTATCCACCAAGTGTGAGCTTATGGAGAGCATTAGAGCCAGGGGATGTGCTGGATCCAGAAGGCAGGGCAATTTGTCTTGACACAACAATCTAGAAGACATCTTCTCTAAGCTAGGGTTTATCAAGATGTGCTCCATTGGGTCACCTGCATCAGAGTCAGCCTGGGTGCCTGCTAAAACTGCAGACACCAGGCCCTGTTGAAGACTTATCATATCAGAATTCATGGAGATGAGGCCCCGGAATCTTTTGTCCTGTAAGCGATTCTGATGCCTGCCAAAGCCCATCATGGGCTCTTTCAAAGCAGCAGCTCTCCCTGCTCAATTCTGAGGGAGGAGTAACAAGGAATGAACTTCTAAGGCGAGTGAAACTAACACTTCACTCGTTTACCACCAGTCTATAATGGAAGCTGCTCTTCACAGGAAGTTTACTGAAAAGATATGGCTGATATGCTAAATTGGAAAAAAATGTGCACAGGTGTGCTTTCTTTTTATATGCTGAAAACCCTGCTTGTAAATGATCAATTTAAAAACCAAATGTAATTTAAATCTAACAGGAGTCTTGCTTACCACAAATCCGTTTGTGTGGCAAATCATGGCTTCTTAAATTGCTTGCCTGTTGAATAAGCAATTTTAGACTTGACTTTTTTGGTTTTGTTTTTTAATAAATTGCTGCTGGAGTTCTCTCTTCTCTTCCCTAGGAATACCTTTTGGAATTACTTCTGAGAGGCTGACTTCCTTTCCTAGTGATAGGCCAGCTTCTCTCTCCCCCAGACAGACTACTTCAGTTCCAGATAATTATCCAAAATATGTCGGATAAAAATATGTTTCATGTCACCCTCATACCAGTACTCCTCCCAGATGTTTTCCCCTGGAGGCTTCCTTGTTGATTTCTTAGTTGAAATGAACCTATTCAGAGTCTGTTCAGAAAGGACACAAGAGACAAACATCCTTTCAGTGCTAATCAATGACAGCAGCCCTGACTGGTAAGTGATAGTTGATAAACAGGAGTGCAGTTTTGCTTTTCCAGAACTTGGATTCCTCAGCAAATAGATGTAAGCCGGGCAAACTGCAGAAGCTCAGCTATTTTTCTGAATTAATGATTCTTGTCTCCTTCCAGCACTGCTGTATCAAAATGTCCCCTTACATTAAAGAAGAGATAAGTAAATGTGTATTGGATAGGACAAAGAAAAAGGATCAGGAAAACGTTTTCAGAAAAGAGGGGCCTCCCATTTATATAAATAACTTAGGGAGAAGGGACATGCTAGAAAAAAATAATGACTGCTCAGCTCAGGCAGATTGCCATGGAAAAAAAATTCAAGGAAGATACTTGGAGCGTTTAGGTTTTGGCAAAGAGCCCAGAGAATTTGTGGTGACATGAAGAGCTGTGTTCTGTGTTCCTTCATTTCTCCTTTCCTTTCCTTTTCTAACTTCCTCTGTTCCTTCCTTCCTTCCCTTCCTTTCTTCCTTCCTTATTGAGAGCCTACTATATACTAGGAATAAAAAATTGGCAGTGTACAAAGCAAATGTGGTCACCGAGTAGTGTGGGGGTAGAGGAGGCTAGGGATCCACTCTCAGGATTGTGCAAGAGTAATGCTAAGTAAAACTTTCTCAGAGCTTGTCCCAGCTAAGATAGTCTGAGAGCCTCAATGAGCTAGAGGTGGAAGCTCAAGGAAATGGACAAGAAGGGTCACTTCTTTACATGCACCTATTCAACTCTGGTAGTTCTGCTGCTACGACTCAGTTTCCCTGAATCCCTGCCTCCTACTTCATCAACTTTATTGGTACTTTCTCAAGAACAAGGAGTCTCTGAATATTATTGCCTGTTTTGATAAAATACAGACTTCCCTATTATCTAGTCAAGACCTCATCTCTTGGTGGAAACTCCTGCCTAGAGCTGAATGCATGGATGGATATAGAAAGGAAGTGGAAAGGGCTTGACCCAGGCCTTGGCCCAGGCTCCCCATGCTAGGAGCAAATCAGACTGTACTGCCCTAGAGCCTCTGCACGTTTCTTGGTTCAGCACAGTTCAGAATACAAGGCACCATTTCATTAGAAACTTTCACTTTTCTGGGGCTTTTTTAGCTAACCTGGACATGGTATGGGGAGACACACCAGAACAAGCAGCTAGGTTTTTGCTTTTTGCATTAGACACTTAGGCTGGAAGGCAACAAGCCTGGTGTCTGCAGATGGCTTGAAGCGACAGAAAGAACCTCTGTCGCCTGGAGCCCAGAGATGACATGAGTATGGATAGTTGCTGATAGGAGGGTCATGGCCCAGGCTTATAAGAACATCCTGGGGGATTATGATGATTATGATGTTCTGTGTTATCCCTGAGCTCAGTGAGCCTTCCAAGCCACACTCTGCAACTTTAGTTGAGACACATACCCCAAACCTCACAGGTACCCCTTTTAAAAATAACATTTCTGCAATCTGAATTCTGCCAGTTCCAATGGGTGACAGATGTTCTACCTGCATCATCTCATTCAATCCTTGTAAAAACCTCATGATGAAAGCACTATCAGCATTTTCAACTCACAAATGTGGAACCTAAGACTCAAAGAGATAAGAATTCACTTTTCCTTATGCAGTTGTCCTCCATATTAATGGGGGATATATATATATATATACACACTATGTTCTAAGACACCGAGTGGATAGTACTAAATCATATATATATATATATATATATATATATATATATATATATATATATATAATGTTTTTTCCTATATATCCATACCTATGATAAAGTTTAATTTATAAATTAGGCACGGTGAGAGATTAACAACAATAACTAATAAAGTAGCACAATTATACTGTAGTAAATTATGTTAATGTGGCATTATTAAGTAAAGTAAGGGTTACTTGAACACAAGCACTGTGATACCATGGCAGTCAATCTGATAACTGAGACTACTAATGACTAATGGGGAGGATAGTGTACACAGTATGGATACGCTGGGCAAAGGGATGGTTCACATCCCAGGTGGGACAGTGTGAGATACTGTGAGATTTCAACATGCTACTCAGAGAAGTGAGCAATTTAAAACTTAATTGTTTATTTCTGGAGTTTTATATTTAATACTAGAGGCCTCGGGTAGGGTCCCTAGGCCTGACCAGCAATCAGGGCCGATCAGGTTCCCTGACTCCCCGCCTCCCCACCTCCTCTTTCCCTCTCCCCCTCAGTGCCCCGTTGCTGCCGCTGTTCACCCACCATGTTCCACGCCGCCCCCTATTGGTCAGCGCACATCATAGCGATCAATCAAACTCCTAGTCTCCTGGTCGAACTTCTGAGGGGACACTTTGCATATTAGGCTTTTATATATATATATTTTTGAACTGTGGTTGATCACGGGTAACTGAAACCATAGAAACTGAAGTCACAGATAAGAGGGCACTACTTATTAGTCACTTACTTATCTCTGGGTCACTCTCACCTTCTCTGAAGAGTTTAGATCCTGTCTCACTGTCACTCTCCCCAAAATTACTACTGTTGTTTTTTTTGGTGGTTTCAGTATCTAGGAAGATAACCCTCCCACTACCCTACTTTCTCATTTACTTGATATCTTTTCTAATGACCTATTCTCAACTCTAACTCTACCATTTATTCTCTTAGTTATTTCTAGTACATCCATGATCCAGCATCAGGTCTCTCTCTCTCTCTCTCTCTCATCACTGCCTCCTATATGTTCAGCTCACTCCCTCTGAGACCTACATTCCAGCAGTCTTTTGATTCCACCAAACCTCCAAGCCATTGACCATATTACCTTTTCACTGGTTTTCATTTCTTTTAGGTCCCTGTCTCCCTCCTTACAGAGCTTATAGAGGCAGTCCTCTGGTTACATCAGACTCAACGTATGTCGTTTTGTGGTTACCTCACCATCTCCCATTTACAGTATTTATAAAAAAAAGTTCTGTCATTTTGAAGTATGTACATATGTGCTTTATGTTTTTTTATTATTTATTTACCACGAGTAAAGGTCAGGAATTGTTATCTTTCTTTTAAATTTTTTTTACTGTTTCACTTCATTACTGCTGTGTATGTGCTCCATGTGAGTGACATAGGTGCTTATATAGGTGGGTTCCAACTTATGGTGAAAATCGCGTTACGTCATGCCATAGGAAGGGATCTCTGGCATAACCCGAGGACCTACTGTATTTTAGGGGCAGTTGTTATAATCGTCCCTGCATACATTATGAAATCTCTTGTCCTCCTCTTATTTCATACTCCTCCCTGGATAAAAGACTGTCTCTGGTTGAGTTGAACTGTTTCTGCCTCTGCACAGTAATGTGGCAGGAGAACACACAACTGTGCTGATAGGCATGCTGCAAACTCACTATCTACAATCTTAGGTAGGCTTGAGTGTTCCTGGGCAATTTACTCTCCCTCTTTCCTAAATAAGCATTTCATACCTTCCCCTCTCCTCAGTCTTCTAGCACTTCCTCCCTCCCTTCACTTTCAGATAAGGACCTCTCCTTTTCTACTTGGAAAATAAAGTCATCAGAAGAGAATGACACATGCTTACACCATCACACATTCTACCTTCATGCATCTATATTCATGGACTCTGTGTTTTTCCTTTTCTAACTGTGGATGAACTGCGCCAACTCCTTTCTAGGGTCAGCTCCTCCACTTGTGTGCTGGATATCATCCCTATGCCTACTCAGGGACGTGGCTCCTGCAATCTTCCTTTCTCTTTTCTACATTGTCAGTTTCTCCCTTTTCCTACTAGCTTAATATACAAACATGCTGCTGTTCTCTTGTCTTAAAATGGAATTTCTCTTGATCCCAATTCCCTTTCCAACCACTGCTCTACTTTTCTGTTCCATTTTATAGAAAATTCCTTGAGTTGTCTATACTGAGTATTTCCAATTGCCCTCCTTGTAATGTTTCTTATGCCATTTAATAAGACTTTCT